TCCACAAACCAATAACAATGAAATCTTAAATTCTAAAAATCTTTAAAAATCTATCACCCAATAAGGCAATAACCCCCTATAAACCTGTTCCCCAAAATAACAGAAGCGAAATTAACCGAAATTCTGAAATAACCGAAATATACCGAAATGAACCAAAAATTCACCTGGATCCTGAGAGCAGCTCCAACGGCAGTTTTTAAGGAGGTTTTAATAAAAATTTTATTTAAAAAATAATGTTTTATTGCTTAATTTCTCCACAACCATTTCTTAAGAGCCTCACTTGAGTCTCATATGTGGCGATTCTTGATTGGTTTAGGTGTTTTTATTTATTTTTTTGTTTTTTTAATTGAGACACTGTCTCTGTTGGAGTCTTTCTCTATTTTCAGAAGATCTCTCCTCCTTTGATTTCTCCGAAAGAGGCGTTGGTGAAATCGGTTCCCAGAGGCTGCGAATCTTCTCCGACAAAAGCTACGGCGGCGAGTCCTCTGTTATAACCCGAATACTGAAGATCTTGGGTTATTATTGGGCCTGCGGATATAAGGAGAAGTTAGAAGCCCAGGTCTCTTATTATCTCAGCTTATTTACCATTTATGCCATTGTCTTCTTTACTCATGTATTTTGTCGAAAATGATCATTATCAAACAAATGGATTGAATCCAGAATCTTCTTTCTCATTTCCTTCTTTTCTCTTCTCACCTAAGCTTTGAATCTCTATCGAGATTCCAAATCTATTTCTACATTTCTCCCCTTTAACTTCTTCTTGATAGATCCGTATCTATCAAATGGTGCTTTTCATCGAGAGTGTAGCAAAGGCCCCATTACTGTTGGAGGTGGGGTTAGCACCCCTAATTAGCTAGGCCCATCTTGGACAATAAAGCCCATAGACTAAGTCAACAAAAATCCAGTCAAAGTCAACGAGCCCGGTCAGCATGGTCCCGCCAAATTGTCATCATTACGACGCCGATCTACAGTGCGCGGAGCCGAGCAGAACCTGACACGTGTAAGGTCAGTTCGTCTACAGTAGCCTAAGCACGCAAGTAGCTCGGCAAAGAACCATCATCACACGCTGCGGAGTGGTTCGGACACGCGGCTCGAGACGCCATACCCGCGAGATACGCTGGAGCTGCCACGTCGTCCCGATTCGGAGGAAACTCGTCTCCCAACTCCCGCTATAAATACTCCTCATAGATCATTTACGAGGGGATCCGAAATTTATTACTCTCTCTCTACTTTAATACACTTGTCTCTCTACCTAGCTCTCTGTAACAATAATAAAAGCATCGAACTGGACCTGCTCCAGACTTAGTTCGAAACACCAGTTGTTCTCTCCTTGCAAACACTTCTTACGTTTCCGAGCTGACCTTCGTTCTTCCTCCCCGAGCTAAATCACTCTTATTATACGAAAATCTCACCCCGAAATCATCTCTAATCATCCTCATCAACTATTAAACATATTTATGATCTTTAGGATCAACAATTACCCTGCTGCTACAAATTGGAGATCATGCTCACCAGGACTCGAGACAGATTGGGACAGCTCCACGGAGAGCCTAAGACAGGCAATGTTGAAGTATGTTGAAATACTCAACGATGACCGCAAGGAAGACTGGATAATCATTCTTAAACAAGGGTTTGGATGATACGGTCCTAGGTGATTAACTCTGAAGCAAAGGGAAATAGATGCAGCGATATGATGGATAGAAGGAATCAACGAGGCGCTATGGTGGTGGTGGTGACACGATGGTGACTCGAAGCGATGAGAGACGATGGTGGCTCGGCGGATCGATGGTGATGATGGTGGAGGGATGAGTTCGATGGATATGGTAGAGGATGAGAAGAGAAGATGATGAAATCGATTAGATGATAGGTAGCAGATTTTCTTGTAAGAATCACTTGTAAGAAAATCGAATTCAATGAACTTTTTGAGTCAAGGAATCAAAGGAAACTTTGCTATCTCTTTTACGTTAAAAATTCCAAGCTGCCTAATGACTTAGGCGATTTCTCTATTATATAGACTTAGAGAAATCGCAGCCCTAAAGAAACAAAACTACATGAAGTTTAAATAAAAACAACAGGAAGTTTGATTTAAAATAAAAACAGCGAGGCGTCCCTTCTAATCCTAAGTGGTGCGCCTAAAACAACTAGTGCACAAGTCATTGTGACTTTGCACATTATTACCCATTAGTAACAACTTCTAAGTAACTCAACGTAGCAATGATTTCTGCCTCGTTAAAAACCTTGGAGAAGAACCTCCTTGCCTTCAAAAATCTTCACCAAGGAAAAGAGTACAGAATCATCACCTAAGTTACCTAGTCATTGTTACTGGGTTCTTCATTCTTCAAAATAGAGATGTTGAAGATGTGAACTCCAGCCTCCTGATGATCGCTGTCCTCTGTGGCAATGAGTGCGTGAGCCTCCTTAGCCATCTCTCTAGCTCTGGAACGAGTGATCCTACCAGCTACTTCTGGTTCCTCCTCCTCTGAGCTGGTCACGATCATATCATTGGAGAAGACTACAACCGAGTGTATCTTCCCCAATCGCTGGCTGAAGAGTACCAGAAGACTCCAGAGCATCCGGGAACCCAGGAGACAAGCCCAGAAGGCCAAATATCAATGGAAATTTCGATAATGTCTTTGGGGAATTTCGTCGAGCAAGTCGCAGGCCAGAAACAGAAGGTTTCGTTGGTGGCTTCTTCCACTGAAAATCTAAAAACGGGTTTGCAGGATGATGATTTTAAACTCTTCAAGCAGACTCAAGTTCATTTTGAACTGGTTGACAACCGGATTCACAACAGTTTGAGAGGAGTTACTCGTGGATGTAGGTTTTCTGATTGTAAGATGGCCAGGAAAAATCTCGGAGTTAAAAGGATTCATGTCAAACGACGGTATCACAAAGCTCGGAAGAAGAAATCAAGTAAGTATATTCCACGTCCTGATTTGGCGCGAGCTCTCACGTGCTACGGTATGTTTCACAGCTCATCTTCTCGAGATCATTTAAGGAATCGCAAGGTGGAGAGAGCACACTTCACAAAAAGGAGATCCATCGTTGATATAGGCGTGAAGCGTGGGCCTCATCTCTTTATCTATGGATTTCGATCACCTGACACTATAAACCCTCTTAGTCATAATGATCGGATGATGATAGAAGTTGAGAAAGGTATGATGGATTCAAACAGATTAGCTAAGGTTGCTGGAGTTTCAGAACAGCGGAGCTTATATCTTGATCTTGCTGGAGAGAAACACGGGAAAGCTAGTCATGGCGGAGGCGTCATGAGATATGCTTGGCGTATCTCACTGAGAGGTGGCATCGAAGAGAGACAATTCATGGGTTTATCGATTGCTGATAGAATACTCATGACGGGAAGAGTTTCTGATTTTTCTCAGGTTAACCAAATTTGGGAGCCTGGTGGGATCATAGGTACAAAGGCTCTTGGGGACTGGTTTAAAAGGTTTTGCAGTTCGGAAACAGCTCCTAAGCTAATGAAAAAGGTTCATGAAATCGGATTTCATGGAGTTTGCACTGAAGACTTTGATCAAGGAGGAGTAATTATTGTATGGGAGTGTGGTGGTTCACTGGTTGAACAGGCTTTGTGGGACAAGTTAAACAAGAAGCTGATGGCGAATGAAGATGATATTAAAGCTGAAAAGGTTCCTAAGCTAACACAGATGGATCACAAGATCAGCTTTCAGGGAATGAGAGTAACACTAGAGTTACAAAGCAGTTACGAGTGGTTTGTTGGATCAAAAAGAGAGATAGGTGCAAATGCTTATTTTTCAGGGTTCAAACAGCTCTTCAGGTATGGAATTAACACCTGTGAAGGTACAACTGAGATAAATAAGCTTTTGGAACTATGTGCCGAGGGTTTAGATACAGAGCACGTTAAGAAATGTGGAGCTCCATCAGAGAGAATTTTGGGTAAACGACCTCGTGATCCGGGCCGGTTTAGAAAGCATACTCAGTGTGGAGTACAATCTGAGCAAAAGGAGAATAAGGGTGTTAGATCGAAGGGTGGTGTGTATAACAAAGACTTGCTATGGAAAAGAGACATTGAGAGCACTAGAAAGAGAAAGATGCGCTTAGATTGGTTAACTCGTTGGGAGAAGATTGTTCTGGAGTTGACTCGAAAGCTTCTCAAGATGGGTCTACAGTGGGTCGTGAGATGGGAATCGCAAGGCTTGTGTTATTATGGTTACAAAAATTGTATTAAGAAGCTGACGCTACTTTTTGGCTCAGGTGTTGTTTGCCAAGGACTGATAGAGTGGTTAGATAATCATTTCCTTGAGAATCCAGATAATGTTGGAATAGGTGTGAAATTTCAAACTAAGCTTGCGCGCTATTGTGCTCTGGAAGTAGGATTGTGGCTCCACCTTGAGGACAAGGTGGTTCTCTTAGGGGCGAGTAATAGTGTGTGGAGTGAGATAGTTGATGATACAAGAAAGACACCGGCTATGGCTGATAAGTCTGATCACATGGAAATGAATGGGGTCTCAAGAGGTTTGGGGACAACAAGGATCTTAGGAAAATACAAGAGCACATCAGAGGATAGAGGTAAAAGAAGAATTCCAGATCAAATAGGTGGAAGTTTGGGGTCAGATCATAAGGATTGTCTCTTGCTGAATTTAACACACATTGGAGTTGTGGAGTGGTATGAGTCTCTTAAACTTGGTGATGCAAGACCGGTTGTTTCGTTTGAAGATTTGAGCAACGATTTGCTCCTTTCATGGATTGCTTATAGTGGGCACAACAAAGATGGAAGGAGAGATCCGTTTGAAGGAGTTGTAGATTATCACCTTGAGGACAAGGTGAGTCTTTTAGGGGGCGGTATTGTTATGACCCGAATACTGAAGATCTTGGGTTATTATTGGGCCTGCGGATATAAGGAGAAGTTAGAAGCCCAGGTCTCTTATTATCTCAGCTTATTTACCATTTATGCCATTGTCTTCTATACTCCTGTATTTAGTCTCGTTTTGTCTTTGTAAAAACGCATCGAAAATGATCATTATCAAACAAATGGATTGAATCCAGAATCTTCTTTCTCATCTCCTTCTTTTCTCTTCTCACCTAAGCTCTGAATCTCTATCGAGATTCCAAATCTATTTCTACATTTCTCCCCTTTAACTTCTTCTTGATAGATCCGTATCTATCATCCTCTCCATTCATTTGAGGCGGCGTCTGCTCCTCCTCTCCAATCTTCCGAGGCTGCGGCGGCGAGTGGTCTATAAACAAGAGTGAAATGTCTCCAAGTTCCCGACTCGATCGATCTCCAAAACAATTACTAAAATCCAAAGGAGGAGGAGGTAAGTGACCCTTTACGAGAGCCTTTTATACGTTAGGTATTCAATTCTGTTTCTGGGTTTTACAAATTTCCATTTTGCTGATTTTTTTTTTTTTTTTTTTTTTGATGGGGTTCTCAATTTCAATTTGGGATTATGTGATTTTGAGGAAATGTTCCTTCTCTGGGTTTCGTTGATTCTGGATTTTCGAAAAGATACTGCTTTGCACTCACAATTTTACATTATATGAATATTCTTCTGCTACAATCTTTTTCATTGAATGTGAGTTTGCTTGTTGCAGATATTTCTTCACTAAACAATGGTGAAAACAGTAGTTGGTGAAGATACTAGGCTCACTTCTGCTGAGGATCGTCTCTCTCAGTCAGCTATTCCTGCTGAGGTATTGTCTGATTCATGTAATGTCAAAAATGTATATGTTGCTGTCTTGACATTTCTACGGCTGAAAGTGTGATTTTTGAGATGTGGTTTTCATTTTTGATGATTGGATCATTTGAAATTTCTGCGGCCGAAAGTATTGACATGCATTATTGAGATCATTTTCAATGGACATGCTTTATGATTCCTTTGTTTCTGAATGTTGCGACAGTCTATATAATGTCATGTTCTTTTGGATTGTAATTTTTAGTTCGCAAAATGCATTGATCATTTTGTTTAATCAATATCTGGTATGAATTAGTTCAATGGTTTAGCATTCTAGTTCTTCATATCAGTTGTTGCTTTTGTTATCTTGAGAGCATGAACATAAATTGTTATTTGCTATTCCCATTCATTGTTACACTAAAATTAAAGTTGTTCGTCTAGTTTTAGTCTGTGGATATAGGAGTGTTTTGATATAAATGATCCAAGTCTTGTGTGTAAATGTAAATGACCTTTGTGCATCTAAAAACTTATAAAAAAATTTTTAGAATCCCTCATTACATCCTACTATTGGACCATAAAATTTGGAAAGGATGTAATAGAGATTCTAAAACCAAAAAAATGAATAAATTCATTAATATAATAAATTAAAACCCTCCACTACATCCCATAGTTGGAGGTGGTCTGAGCACGCCGGGAATTTAAGGGGTAAACGACGTCGGATTCCAAATCGGAAACGCGCCTCTTTTGATGCGGATTCCAAATCGTAATCGCATTCTCCTTCACGATTCCAAAACTCAATTTTTCTGGAACCCAAATTTTTGCTTTTACCTTTGCTTGATTCATTGCTACTAGTGGTGGGCTCTGATCAGAATTTCATCTTCCTTTTTCAAAGTACGTATCAGAATTGTAGAAGAAGAAGATGGGTCGATGCAAAGAGGATATTCCAGCGGTTAGGGTTTATACAGTCTGCGACGAATCAAGGTCTGATTGAATTACATACCCAGTTTTAATTAATCGATTTTGTTCTTTCTGCGGATTTTGAAACGTTTTGTTGGTTTTCAGATACTTGGTAGTACGTAATGTGCCAGCTTTGGGTTGTGGTGAGGATCTCATGAGGTTATTCACTACTTACGGAGAGGTTGAAGAGTGAGTAGTGCTCTTTTTGGGGTTTCTCGAATAGTTCCTTGTTGTTTATATGTTTGTTTGATTTGGTTCATTGTGATTCGAATTTAGGTGTAAACCTATGGATGCAGAAGACTGTGAGGACTTTACAGATGTCTACTGGATCAAATTTCGTCTCATCACTAATTCCAGGTTTCGGGATTCTTCCTTTCTTTTTTTGATGATCAGATTCCTGTTGATTTGGTTCCAAACTCAAGAAATCAATCATCAAGTAATGTATGGTGGTGAAACTCATCACTGTTCTGTTTTAGAGTTGATATGTTTTGTTTTCCCGTTTGTGAGACTTTATAGTGTGATGATATAAGTTGTGCTTGATTTTTCATGTGGCAATGTGTGTTTTTACTCGTGATTCGAGAATGAACGTTTTGTTTTAGCTGAGATATGTTTATGTTTGATTCATTTTTAGCGACAAAGACGCCTTAAGTAGGTTCATTTGAGTGATGATATCTGGATTTCAGTTCCTTAGGCTAAAAGCTGAAAACTTTTTTTGTTTATTAAATTTGCATTACTTGTTTTCTTGCTAGAGGAAGAATTTGTTTGATTGAGATTATGTTTATGTTTGATAGATTTGCAAAGAGGAAGTTGGATGGATCAGTTTTCTTGGGAAATCGGCTCCAGATTTCATATGCTCCCGAATTCGAGAGCCTCACTGACACAAAGGAGAAGCTAGAAACCAGGAGGAAAGAAGTGCTTGCAAGACTTAACCGTAAGCTTTCTATTTTCCCACAATAACAATAAAGATTCTATCATTAAAGAAATCGGATAGAAATTGTGTCTCTTCCGTAGATTATGAACTTACAAAGCTCTCAACTAAGAATCAGTATTTTTCAAAGTGGCATGAGCAATTTCATTGTACTTATAGTGGAATCACAAAAAAACATAAGCTGAAGTTATTACCGTATATGTGAATCATTTTTAGTGTAATGTACTTGTTTTCATTGGTTCTAGAGACAACGTTTAAGTTTTTCTAATCAAATTTAAATCATTACATGTTGCGTTAGCTAACCTCGAGTTTGTTTATAGCATTGCGTTAGTAAATTTTTCTTAACTTAGAAAAGCATGGACGGGACAATATGAACTGTTGAGCATAACTTCACAAGTCTGATATGTTCCATCTTGTGAGCAGCCCAAAAAGCCAAGAGCACCTCCCAAGTTACAAAATTGGCTGGACCGGCTTTATCTCAAATGGATAATTTTTCTTCACAAAGGTAATAATATAAAAATGGTCTTTTCCTCGTATCAGAAAATACATTGAGTTAAGCGAATAAGAGATTGCTTCTTCTTTCTGGTATTTTAGGCAAAGAGAGATGGAGTACCAATTCCATAGAAGAAACGCTCCTATTTCTCGAGTTTCATCTGACCAGGTCTGTGTTTTGTGTGTTTGAAATTCACAGTATTTGGCTTTTGTGTCATTAAACTTTGGAGATCTCGGTCACGTTATAGAATATCTTGGCTTTTGTTTCTTTGTAACAAAGAGAACTGATAATGGTGTTTTAACTGGATTGTGTAGGAGTATTTTGCGTCGTCTTCAATGAATCAAACAGTGCACACTGTCAGAGAGAAACTCAATAAGGTAAAAAAACCTATCCCCGTTTGTAGTGAAGTCTTGATTTTTAGATTCTTGACTAAAATATTATCTCGTTGTCACATTGTAAAGATTCAAGAAAGTGGTAACCAAAAGAGGTTACAACCGAGCAGCCAGCATCTACAGACAGAACCTGACTTCAAGAGAACCCGAGTTGATAATCGCAGAAGAATCTAAACTCCACTTAAGAATGCTCAGCTAATCCTTTATAATCTTGTGTAACTTAGTCTTATTAGTGTTCCTGCATGATATTTTTTGTGAATATCTAAATTTCTTGCAGGATGACATCCTTTTTCTTTTTCTTTTTTTGCAATTCAATTTCAGTTACTTAATTTCTTGTGTCGCCTGTATACAAAAAGAAAACCATCTAACCAAAATTGCAACTATTACAGTATAACAACATGTTTCTAAAGTCTACACTGAAAAGAAAAAAAAAAAAACAGGAAAGAGCAATAGAAACAAAAAAATACTAAATTGATATCAAATCTATTATATAATTAGAGAGTTTTTTTTTCTATCTAGTGTTCACATCAGCAGAAAAAAAAATTAAAATTAATGATTCAATTAATTCACACACTTGAAATGACTATTATTTTTCACTTAAAAAAAAACTAGCCTTAAAATTCATGATTCAATTAATTCACACTTTTATACAAAAAGTTTAATATATAAAATTATTGGTCCACATCAGTTTTTATTTATTCACATATACAAACAAAATAAACAATTAATCATATTTTCAAAAACATAAATAAATATTAATATGTCCAACCGTTAACTATACATAAAATTACTGAATTTGAATTAATTACTTAAAAATTATCATTACATAAACAGAAAGTAATTGAAATTTACGTAAATTTAAAAATATTATAAACAAATAAATATTATACAATACAAAATTTTAAATGCATCATTCGAGTGATTTAATCTTTATTTTCAAACTAAGAAAGATAATTAAATTTTAATGCAAGTGAAAAAGCAAATATGAAATATAATAAGTTAAGAAGTTTCAAATAATTGAAAAATAAAAATTTATAAAACTATAAGACACAAAAATATTCAATAAACAATCAAACAGTAACAAATTATAAAATAAATAGAGAAAAGGAGAAAAAATAGAAAAAGAACAAGAATGTATACAAAAAATATACAAAGTTTTAACATATGGGAAAAAATCATTGAAAGATTATAAAAAACAACTTAGAGCATCTCCAAGAGACACTGTATTTTTAAGGTGTGAGAAACCTTATATTTGAGGCTTGAAGGTAATGCTCTCCAATAATTTTTTTTGGTCGAACTAAGATTACATTAAAATCAAATGAGTTTTGCCTCTACTAAGAGAGGATACACAAAGTTACAAAGAGCCAAACAAACCAAACCATCGAACCACAGATTGGTCGAGATAATGGTAAAACTTAAACAACAATAACAACTCAAAGAGAGACATAGAAATAAGCCTCCGGTGGCGTTAATGCTGAATCGTTAACAACCTCAAGTGCTAAACGAAAGACAATTAACATCCTCGCACCTGTTCTTAGCAGAACAACCTTCAAGATAATGCTCTCTGTAACACTCAAAACAAGTAAAATATTTGGGAGGAGAAAAGACTCCAAAATGGAGAAATCAGGACTATGAAAGTCCACTCGGGCCAGATTCACTAAAGGGATGCAACAAATAAAAGTTTTCTTAGCAATCTGCCACGAAGAAGAAAACAGTATCAAAACAACTCCCATCAAAGCAAAAACGGAACGAAATCTGCATACTGCAGTAAAGGAACGCACCAATGCGTTATGAAAAAGATTGTATACCACAGCAAAGAGACTGCATAGAGCAGTAAAGCATCGCACCAAGTCAACAATGATACCACTACTGGGTAGAAGAGTGGAACCAAAAGAGACAGCATCCATCGTGACATAACAAACTAAACCCGGCTTCCACAAAACCAGAGCCACCCACTCAACTAGCATCCGATAACTTTCCATATGAGAAAAAACAGAGAGAGAAGAGCAGGAGCAAACCTGGAGAATCGTGAGAGGAGGGAAGGTGACAACGTCGGGCTGGCAGCAAAACGCTCTAGACGAGGTGGTCATGGCAATGGTCAGACAACGGCGAGTTTCAAGATCTCCAAACCCAATTACAGAGTGAAAAATTTTGGGTACCAAAAGGCCAGCGGTAAGAGACTTTTGCAGGGAGGAGAAGAAGACTTGCCAGCGACGAGAATCCAGATCTGGTAGAGGATAGCAGGAGAGGAGAGTAAAATGCTCTGAGATCTGGGGGCTCCGGCTGCGGCGATGCGAGGCAACGAAACGACAAACGGCAAGGTGCGGTAGTAGATGGCAGGAGAAGATTAACGGCAGCGAGGAACGACAAGGTAGCGGCGAGAGATGGTAAGGAGGCGAGCAACCGGCAAGACAAGAAGAATGGCAGCGAGACGAGCGAGCGGCGAGACATGGAGAACGACATCGAAAGAAAGAGAACAGTGCAGAACGACAAGGAAAAAGATAGTTTTGTCAGAGCTTTTCTCACGGTCTGAGACCGGAGAAATGCTCGACTCAACACCAAGAGAAGGACGGTTAAAAGGAGAGTAGAACCGGAGCGGCGGCGACAACGAACGGCGGCGAAGAGATGGAAGCAAGCTTGGAGAAGCAGCGCCTTGGGAAATGTGTCTGAGAGGAAAATTTTGGGCATGCTCTCCAATGATAAACCTCAAAATGATACCTTAAAAATATTATACTTTGCACTTTAGTCTTCACTATTGATAATAATTAACTAAGATCACAAAAATTTGATAAATAACTATAAAAATATATATTAAATTATTATATACCTAAATATTAGTTTTGTTTTAGTATTTTTATTTGTATAATATTTATATATTCATGTAAGTTTATTTTCTTGTGTTATTTTAGTTTGTATGAAATTTGATTTATGTAATATGTTGTTATGTATTTGTTTTTCAATGTTATGTATTATTTTATTATTTGTTATTATTATTTTTTAAAAATTATTTTTTAAATGTTTATATGTATATATAATTTATTTATAAAGATATATGTGAAATATTAATAAGATGTTAAATTAGGAGAGTTGAAATGATATACACAAAAGTTATTATGATTAATTCTAAAAGATATAATTGAAAGGATTAAAATACAAATAAAAAATATGACACTTCAAATTTGAGGTGTTGAACGGTGAAACCTAAAATTTAAGGTGTTACTGTTCAATACCTCAAAATTTGAAGTTTTGAAGTGTCTCTTACAATACATAAAACCTTATATTTGAAGTTATAAGGTGTCTTTTGGAGATGCTCTTAAAATAGTATATTGAAAATGTTAAAATATATTATAATATTAAGATTAAGACGAATTAAAGAGTGTACAAAGATTGATGATAAACAAATATCTAATATTTTATATTTTAAGGAAATTCTCCATGGGTTAAAAATTTATCATTTGAAAAAAGTAGATTAACATATGTCTAACTATAAAAATGGTAATTTTAAAAGGTTTAAAATTATTGGAAGATCTTGGATGAAGAAATTCAAAAAAAAATTACAATGGATAAAAGAGATTACTATGGTTACAAAAATTATATAAAAACAATTGAAGAGAGATGGATAATCGAATTAGAAATCTAAAAATATATAATATTTATTTACAAAACTAAATAAAACAACATTTGTGCACATGTTCTCTCCTAATGTAGTATAAAAAAATAAAGTTACCACGAAATTGGCAATAAATATAACCTAGTAACTACTAAAATAAAATAAAATGAAGGTGACATGAGATTCCTTTTCCTATTAGAAAGTGATTATCAGAGGCGGCTGGAAGATGAAACGTTAATTTGGCCTCCCAAATTTGAAGAAGTTTAAATATGTATAAATCATTTGATTCCAAAATCTTTACAAAAATCATATCATTTAGGTTTCAAATTGTATCCCATATCTGTAGACCAAATCTTATAATTATAATATCGTTTGAATGATAAGAAAACATGAAAAGAGTGTTAATTAAGGACTACGAGAATCTGTAAAGTTTTTTTGCGAATTTAAAAACAAATGGCAAAACTTAAAATTTTATTTTGATTTTTGTTTAAGTTGTGTTATGTTGAGTTATAATCTACTGAAAACATCAACAATCTCACATTTACCTTAAAGTATCCACACATTAGTTCATGAATCTTGTATAAGATGAAAAGTACAATGAATGAGTAAGCACCGTCATCACCCAATTCAAATTCTTCTTTCACATCTTCCTTTTTCACATATATATACTTCCCAACTTTCACTGCATCTTCAAAGGTCTTCAAAGTCTGAAACAGAAATCACCATCTCTATTAGGGATGACCTGCGAAACCAATAACAGAAATTAGTTTACCATCTCTATTGTTCGAAAGTATGAGTTTACTTACCTTTACAATCTCAATTTTTCTTAAGATTAGACAATTAGATTAAAAAAAATTATGTATTGTATTATATAGTTTTGTAAAGTTGGACGAATGATTATGATCAATTCTTGCATGATTATTTTTTTTTAATACTACTAATCTTTTAAATTTTAGGATCGACTCTCCATGGGGTCTTTATTTAAAAGGTGTTTGATTAAAAATAAAATTAAAAAATAACGGGTGTGTGTGATTGATAATTCTTAACAGTTGTGATAATGAATATACTGCTAATATGATTACCAATACAAAAATGATATTAATTAAAAACTATACCACTATACTATACTTGTATTGCTACAGCTTACCAATTTTTATTACCACATTTTTTCACCAACCATTCTTATCTCTTATAACTATTTTGTTATCGTTTACTGTTTTATGTCACTAATCAATCCAATAACAAAATGATTAGGAAAAGTGAGAGAAATGATAAAAAAAAAATAGTTAATCACAAATAGATATTTATACAGTAATTTATATTGCTCTTGTGATTGGTTATGTAAAATGCAACTTACCAGTCACATTCATCACTTACTTCCTATCGGTTTGTTACAGCTATCTGAATCAAGAAATGAATATATATATATCTCGAAATAACATAAATAATTTTTTGAGAAATTAAGTTAAATATAGTTAAAAACTAAATAATGTTATCAAACAAACAAAATGCCCTAAAGCAAGAAAGTTCAAATTTGATCTTCAATAATCCTTCTTTGGGTGAAATGTTAGAATTTAATACTGGCGAAGAGTTATGGCTAAAACCATATTTTTTAAGTTTATAGAATTATTCTACAAAATTGCAAAGTAACTGTAAGGATTTGCAAGCTAATCCTTTAGAACAGAGAAACTTTCATGACTTTTGGTCTGAATAACATGTACACAAGCATAAATATTTTTGTGTACACTGGTAGATTAGATTCGTCTTGGTCGTGTTTTCTGCCCTTAAGCATCCCCGTTTTCCGATATCAAGCTACCTCCATCGATGTCCTTTTTTGGCGAATCGAGTTGCAAGCATTCCCAGACTTCAATGATGTTATGTTTATCTTCACTTTTCCTCAAAGTATCTCCTTTGACTAGGTTCAACATGAATCCATTGTATGTTCTCTCCATCTGAAAAAAATTGCCTTATATGATCGTGATGCTGGGTGATTTCTGAACAGTCACGTTCGAATTGCTCTCTGTAGCTCTATTAGAGCCTTTTCTAATAGTAAAAACTGGTCAGAAGAAAAACGACATATTTCTCCCTGTAAGTATCTCTTAACTATTATGTGTGTAAATATGTTTCAAACTTTCAAATCAGGATGATTTAAATCTAAGTCGAAAGTTTGAGTGAATATGTTCCTATATCATATATTTTCGAATGAGAAATATGTCGTTTTTCAAAAATAAAAAAGTTATAGAAAACGACGATGATAAAAAAAAAATTCAAAGACAATAAAAAATAAGAATAATAGGATGACAAAGAAAAAGTAAAATATAAAGAAGAGGATGAAACAAAATAAAAAAAGAATACATATACCAAATAAATAAAAATAAGAGATGAAACAAAATTAGAAAAGAAGATGGAGAAAAATCGAAAAAAAAAGAAAAAAAAAAGAAGAAAAAGTAGAGTCGAAGACGACGAAGAAAAACATGAAAAAAAAGAGGAAGAAGAATACAAAACTAATGAAGAGGAATTTTGAAAAATACGAAAATAAATGGTTAAAGATGAGGAAGGAGATCAGAAGATGAAGATACACAAATTATGAGAATATGAAAAAAAAAAATTAATAAAATTAAAAAATATAAAAATAAAATAAAAGGACAAATACAATAAATTAACTATTCAACGATTTGTAATAATAATTGTTTTTTTTTAATATTGTATCTATTATTCTATTATAAATTAGATTAAACAATTCTTACAACGTACAGTTCTCCTACTTATATATAAGCCAAACAGATCTTTCTACATCACGTTGAAAACTTCTTGTAAGTTCGTCTCTATTAATCTACATTTAATATTTGATAATAAATCGCATTTTTCAGGATTTAAAATCGAAATCTCTTAGTGTAGAAACGTTAATGAACATTTGATCAACTATTGGATCAATTGGATTAATTGGATCAAGGAGCTTCTGTATAATAATAACTGTTTAAAAATGAAATAATGGACATAAGTCTAGTTAAATTAGTGTAGGGTTACGGGTAAGGTCTGGTTACCCGACTCGAAAATCCCAATCCGATGCTTAGGACACGAAATCGAACCGCAAATACTCAAAAGTCAAACCAAATTATTCCGGTTCTAATTTGGTTCATCAAACCGGTGTATCAAATCCCTACGGGAAGACTTTACCGAGGTTTTGTGGATTTTGCCGAAGCAGTAGAAGAAAGAAGAAGAAGAGTGGGAGAAAATGGCTGCAACGAGCATCGCTTCTAGGTCTACGTCTCTAGGCTCAATCTTCAGAACCGTTACTACACGAAGCTTGATCTCACCTAGAGCTAGACTCTCCGTCCCAAACCCTAATTCCCCATCGTCGCGTTTCAACGCTTCTTCGCCTCTTCATCAGACTCGAATCGAAGGTTCTGCTCCCAGGTAAAAACCCATCTTCTTCGTGTGACATTTGTTAGCATTGGCGATTTTTTTGGTTAAATTTTGGATTTTTGATTTGAATCTGAAAAGGTTTCTGCGGCGAGAACTAAGCACGCATCAACCATTTCACAGCGTTATCGCTGCTGCTCGCCTCGTCTCGAAACTCCCTTCTGATCTCACCTCTTATGAAGGTAATTATCTCAGAACCTCGAATTTGGTATTTGGATTAGTCTTAATGACCCTAAGACAACACAATTTAGCTACTAGTTTCTTGAGTATGATTAGCTTCAATCATTGAGATACTCTGCAAAATCAAGAGAAAGATGCAACATTTGGTTGTGTTATGGTGTTTGAGCTTCTTTAGGATGTGGTTAATTTTGCTATTTGGGGTATGATTGGTTTCAATCATTGAATCCTTGCAAATCAAGAGAAAGATGCAACAAATGGCTGTGTTATGGTGTTTGAGCTTCTTTAGGATGTGGTTAATTTTGCTATTTGGGTTTGGATTAGTAATTAATGACTCTAGACAACAAATTTAGCTACTATTTTCTTGGGTGTGATTGGTTTCAGTTATTGAGAATTCCTGCAAATCAAATCTCTTGAGATGTGTTTCCTAGAGAAAGATGCAACAACATTATAGCTATTTGTGTTTGAGCTTCTGTAGGATTTACTTTTAGATTTCAGAGAAAGGGAATTCAAAGATTATAACAGCTTTTCGATCTTCATTGACAGGTAGATTTGCAAACTATGTCAGTCCCATCTAAGTAGGCAGCACCTGAGAGTAGATGGATGATCTTCTTGCGCCAAGTTTGATCTTTTTTTTTTCCAAGGAAATTTTCAGGTTCTTTAAGTTTATAAATCTGTCAACAAACCGCATTTGCAATCTCTCGGTATACGTGTATCGGTATATGTTATTACTTCCATTTGATTTGGCTTCAGAATCTTGTTAATCAAAATGAGGAGTTAAAACCATAGTTATTTTCAGGAATGTATGTTAACTTCTCCCAAAATGCAACTACTCTGTTTGCATGGGACGAGACTTTTCCATTTCTACGAATTGAGTTATGTTTCTTGGCCTTGTTTTTGACTGGAATAAAGATATTGATAAGCTCTGTGCATTTGAGCACTTGCTTGTTATAAAGTATCTGCATAGAGGCTCCTAGTAGATTTCATGTTTCAATAATGAGACATGTGTTCTTTGCTCTTTTAGTTCCCAAACGCTTGAACGTATTTAGGATATGAACTGGGAGTTGTGGTACTTCTTGAAGGAAAAGTATCAGGAGAAAATGAATCTGTGTATGTTTAATTTTTTCTCGAATTAACTCTTGAGATTTTAATTTCTCTAATCTAGCGCGTGTATGGAATATTGGTTATGTCCATGTGTTGTTGGCTTCATCTCTCTTCAAGTAGGCATGCGTAGAAATCAATGTCATGTAGAGAGATTTTTTTTTTTTTTTTTTTGGTTCAGATGCTTTATTGAGAGACACTCGAAATCAGCCATTACCACTCAAAAACGTTTTAAGACATGAAAGTGGGTATAGGGTTTGTTTCAGAATCTTACAAAAACTAGATACAATGATGATTTTTGTTTGCAGGCTCTAGTTTTGGTATGAATCTTCCACAAAATTAATAGGGAAGTTTCCATTTGGGACCCATTTTGATACCAAAAACAAGAGGAACAGTCTTTATAATGATTATTGAATGGTCATTGTTATGGCTTTGTGCCCCCATGTGGATTCAATAAAGCACTTAAGTTCGTTTTCCCTTTCTTTTGAAATATTTTGTTGCCATTTTACTCATACCAAGCCAAGGAACTGCTTCTTTACTTCTGTTTTCTACTTTCCACTTTGGTCAGATTCGTCAAAATTCTAGCTTGGCGGAAATGTTTTACTTCTAGGTTTTGGATTATTTTAATTCACATTTTTGAAACATAAAATAAACGTAAAATAGACAGAACGTTCTTCTTTCGTTTGTATTTGGCGTGTAATTTTTGAAATTATCATAAAAAAAAATCCTTAAAATGTTAAAGGTAATGGGTTTGATCTATATGTGACTAGAACATATAATCTAATGGTTTATACTAGTGATATTGTGTCATCACCCGAGGTCAAGCCCGATAGAGTAAAAGCAAACGCAAACAATCAGATTAGAAAAGTGGTTAACACAGAACCTAAGAGCTTCCAAAGTTGGTCTTTAGGAGATTCAATCGTTGTAGTTCTATATTATTATAGATTGAGATTAACTTGTTATTTATTGGATCTTTTGATTTTATTATAAATTTTTGTTATTTTTGGGCAATTTCTTTTTTCTTTTTAATGTTAAGAATTTTGTATGAATGATGATGTAATGGAAACAAAAATGTGCAAGACATCATTGAAAAAAGTTATTTATCGAATTTGTAAATAGGGACTAAGATAATATAACTATATGGTTAAAGAAATTATGGAGATGTTTACCAAAAACTAAAGCTGTAAATTCATGTAAATGTCTATGGAGAGATTTTCCACCAAACTTCGTGTTTCCGACCTAAATACTTTATATAAACTTTTGAGAAAATCACTTTTTATATTAAGTTTGCAATAATGTCAACTTTGTCTCATGAGAAAGTGATTAGCTAACAAACTTTCAACAAACCTACAATTCTGTTTTCTCATATGTACACATGTCTGACAAATCAATTTAATGTTTACTTCAATCTTACTGAGACTACTGCTGTTTTTCATTTTGTATTTATTTAAGAAGGCAATTGGTCTTCATTAAATTAACTGCCCTAAATCTCTGTAGTTAGTTGTACAGATGCGACTAATGCGTAATGGACAACAAAGCAAACACATAACAAATCAAATTCTCAAATTTTGTTCCTCAAAATTGAGCACACAGAGTCTTGCTTTTGATATTCTCCCTAAACGACGCCGTTGATTAAGGCCAAGGTTCCTGATCTACTAATCTATCATATAATAGGAGAGTTTTTTCTCTATCTAAGGTGTCCACATCAGCAAACTCTTAAATTTTAACATTAAAACATATTTAAATTAAACATTTAATACATATATATATATATATTTATATTTATTATTAGTATATTTAGTATACATTAAATAAAATAAAACAAATTTTAGTGTAAATAGAATAAGTGGTAGTTAGATATTAATACTTAAAGAAAAATATAATACTAACTGGATTAAAATATATATATCATTTAAAATAATATATTATTTAAACAGAAAAAGTTAGAAAAAATGACGATAATTAAAAAAAAAGATAAAAATGATGAAAAAATGCGAAACAATATTAGAATAAGAAGATGAAGAAAAACTGAAAGAAAAAAAAGAAGAGAAAATAAAAGTCAAGAACCAGAGAAAAATGAAAAAAAAAAGAGAATAAAGAACATGAAACTAATAAAAAGAAATTAGAAAACAAAGACGTTAAAGATAAGGAAAGAGAACAAAAGATAAAACTAACAAATTATGAGAATATGAAGACGAAGAAGGAGTATAAAAATAAAAAAAAAAACAAATATGATGAATTAGTTGTTTAACAATTTGTAATAATAGCTGATTAAAAATAAAAGAGTTGCAGAGAGTATAAATTAAGAAAAAATAAAAATAATTTAAATAATTATAATCACACAATAATAACAGATTAAATCTAAAAATACAGGAAATAAAATTTATCGAAGTTAATAACATAATTAAGAAAAATATAGTGTTATATAGACGCACTAGTAAGGATAACTAATAGAACACATGTATTGTTAACACAATGCAAACTTAAAAATAAAACTATTAAACTAAGGAAAAAAAATTATCAACAAATTATTTCTTAAGAAATAACATATAAAACATATAATAACATGAACATAAACTAAAATCCGCGCGAAGCGGGGTCTCAACCCTAGTGTACTTAAATTTTTTACAGTTAAAAAAAAATTATAACCTGATCCAATAATCTCTTATCATGTCGTATTTTTTTCCCCCTTTTTATTGGAGAATTCCAAACCTAAACTCAAACAAACTTTCGGGATTTGTAAAAATTTAGATTTGCTTAACACTTACGGCGTTCAAAAATGACTAATCATGTCGTATCATCCTTATGCAAATTCTGGAATTAAAATCAAGATTCTGAATCTTGAATCATCTTCAATTTTATCCATTAGTGTAAGTATTTACGTTTGTTGAGGCTGTGCAAAATTTAAGACCGATAGGATCTATATTTTGAGAGAGGAAAAAGCGACTCTATCAATCAAAGTCTAGTGATCAAACAGTGGTTAGCAATCATACAGACCGACCCATGCACAAGTTTATTTATTCCTTCTTTTTTTTGCATTTGAAAAATTCATTTTCATGTATTCAACATCCAAAAGGAGAATCTACAAAAACAAGAAAAAATGAGTCATTGTAAATTTTTGAGTTTAATACATGTTTACTATAGCAAACATGAAACATGATATTTTGCAAACTAACGCTACGACTATAGTCACTATACTATAGCAAACATGAAACATGACTCTACACAGCCAATATGACATGTTTAACAGTTCAAAAACTCGATTTTTCACATATGAAATGACGAAAAAACAAACATTTGGCCGATCAAAGGAGAAGTTAAATTTCAAAAAGAATAGGTTCATGGAGGTATTAAAGACCTAAACACTAACACAAAATTGTATGACGTTAGTTACAGAGTTACGGACTACCTAGAGTAAATCCCTAGCTAAAAAGATTAGCAACAAAAATAGCAACGATACTCAGCCAATTTTGAAGCCAGTTCCATGGTATTTTTTTGCTAATTACCAATGCATGAAATCCTTAGCCAATCCGTAGCTGCTTAGCGATGAAATGGCTACGATTTAGTGTGTGGCAAATTTATTTCTTTCGCCATTAATTATTTGCTCCAAAAAAGCTGAGACTTGAGAGGTGGTTTCATACTATATATCATAATGCACAGTAAAAAAAGCACTCTATAAAGTGTTAAATGTGCAATTAACTTTTTGTGTTTTTTTAAAAAAAGTTCATGCAGAAAGTCTTTTAAGATGTTTGAGTTTTGATATCGCCCCCTTGCTTCCTTGAAAGTGATTTCATTTGAGTGAAGGCACTCAGGCAGTAGGTAATTTTTACATATCATAAGACATAAGATAAAAACAGGTGTTAAAAAGATACCAACTAACTATTACCCGATAGCATATGCTTACTTTTTGTAATATAATTTTAATCTGTGATACTACAACCAAATTTATCACCACGATGTTATCAACAATTAATAACCTATGCAAGTGTTACAATGTGATAGAATGAGAAATTAATTACTTATATGGGAGTTCTGGATTATATATGATTGTTCATATGTGGGGACACTAAACCCAAAACACTCATCACAAGTGGATAGGGGACCTTTAAATAAGAAGGCTTGTATATTTGTAGGGTTTTGCTGTCGATGTTCCCAATTCACATCACAGTCTTAATGTTCCTATCCAATTTGATGAGCCTTCTTTTAGCTGCCTTAATGTTCATATCCATTTGCCGATTCATTTACATTTTCACATCCACTTTCTAAGATATTCAAAGCACATTCAAGTGAACAAAAAGCAGGAACCGAATCGACTGAGATCATCAACAATTTTTTTTTTGGGTATTAATTATCAGTAATATGCATTATGTGGGATTGAACTCAGAATTTAACACAACCATCATATTAATCCAAACCATTAGGTTACATGTCCTTTTTGTTATAATAAAGAAGAATCCAGATTTTTATCGTTTGACTAATTACTCAAAACTGAGTGTAGTCTTCGAGTAGCACATTTACCAATTTTTTATTAGATCTAGAGCATGACACCACTGACCACACTACAAAACAAAAAAATGACTATTGTTACAACTTTTTATGTAACGATATATCTATTGGTCACAAATTTTTTAATGTGACGAAACTGTCATAATTTATAAAACATTACAATAAAATTGTCATAAATCTATTTCCGTTGCAAAAACGTTACAACAATTTGTAACAAATAAGAACAATAATAATTCATAACATTTTGTGGCAACTTTTAAATAGTTATAAAAATAAC